GCCCTCGCCCCTGCGGCCCCGCGGCGCTGCACCGGGCCCTGCTCTGCCGCCACGTGCTCCGCGCGGCGCTGCCGGGCCGGCGCCGCGCTCGAACGCTTCCTGCTCTGAGGAAGCTCCGTAAATACCACTTGGAGGGAGATAACAGCCCGGGACAGTTTGCTCTGCAAATGGGTGTTCGGCGTTTTGGCCTAGGCTACTTTCTCAATCTCAAAAGCTGATTCACTCGGCTTGTAAATGCGGTTTTAGTGCTAGGATTTCCTGCTGCATGAGGTGTGGGTCTTTTTTTTTTTTTTTGAGACTCAGTGAAATTATTTTATATAAATAAGGGCATATTTAATAATAAACTCCGATTTCCTTTATGTAATTGGCACTTCTGAGCCTATTGCCAAAACTCATAATTTTAAAAACTGTGGTAGTTTTTTTTGGCACTTAGTTTTTGTGTATTTTATTTATTTATGTATTTGTAAAGAAGGAAGATTCCAAGTATGATTGTAAACCCTGCATTTTTCCCCATATGCCAATTCTTCAGCGCGTGGCTGCGTGCGGCCGATAACGCCGCTATCGGCGCGGGGGCGAGCGCCCGGCGGGCCCGCCGCGAGCAGCGTGAGGATGTCCCTGGACGCGGTTTCCTGCAGGGAACGGCCGCTTCCTTACCCGGGGGACGGCTGGGATGTTTCGGGAGAGCGTCCGCGCTGGAACGGCTCGGCAAACACGCGCTCTTGTGCAAACCCAGAGCTTTGCCTGTCCTGTCTTCTGCTGCCTGTTGCCGCGCAGTTACAGAAAAAGAAACGTGGTGCAGAAGCAGTATTTTTTTTGTGGTGGAAAGTCGTCTTCCAGGAAAGCCAGAGAAAAAAATAGTACAAGTCAGTGGGTCCCTGTGTTCCCACGTGAAGAAAGCTGAGGAGTGAGGCAAGGAGTGAACGCAGTTATTGCTGCCCGCTGTAATGCACTTTGTCTGTGCCTTGGGCCGGTGCAGAGGGGTTGCGGGCAGCCGGCCCGGATTCCTGCGCCCGGAGCCCTGGCCTCGCGGTGCATCTCCCTTGAGGACGCGTTGGGATGTCAGCGTGCAGCCCTGCTCTCACCATGCCGTCATGCTCATCCCGTTCTCTTTCTCTTTCTTTTTGCAGTGCGTCTGGTGCAAGTGTTGTTGCCATTGACAACAAAATAGAACAGGCAATGGTGAGTAGAAAGCAAGTTGTTATTCCTGATACCATGAACAGTCCATCACTCAGCAAAGCTTTCCAGCTCTGTGGTCTTTCTGCAAGTCTCTCAATACCCCTTCAGTCAGGTCAGACGATGCCATTTTTTGAAAAAAGTGACCTTCTCCCAGCTAGGAGATGGCCACAAACTGGGATTGTTCTTACATTTAACCTGGGCAGTTTCTCAGTTACACTGTTGGCCTAGAAGGTCTCTTAAATGGGTTATTCTACACATTGCTGCCAACAAGCTGGTTGAGCTTAAAGGGGTGCTAAAAGCATATAGCACACGAGATAAATGAGTGTCTTCAGTAAAATTCACTGCTGAAGTGTTGCTTGAGGCTGAGCTGCCCTGTGCGTTTCGTTGAGCTCCAGCTGAGTCCGTCTGATCCCGTTTGTGGTGGTTGGAGGGTTCCGCGCGGGTGGACGCGGAGCC